GTCAGCGCTGTAAATTAAATGTCCCTTAACTTTCCCCTTAACTGCCGAATCGGATGCTCTGAATCGGAAGCCAACTTCAGCGTCGTCAATTTCCGACAGTAAGCGAAAGCAGCACGATAGAGCTACACTCATGTCACGTGATTACAAAAACTCAAATCATGTGACTGAGTAAGCAAAGGAAACCTGCGGAGCTACTTTCCGAGTGGGCAGAATTTGCAGACTTAGCAGGATGCTCTCACCTGAAAGGCCCGGGCTGTTCCGTGTCCTGTGCCTGTGCGCTCTGTTCGAAGCGGCATGTCTGCTGAACACCGGCATGCTCTTCCCCCGGGAGTCTTCCTCCAGGGAGGTGAAGGAGCTGAGCGGGCTCTGGAGCTTCAGGGCTGATAAGTCTCCAGACAGGAACCAAGGCTTCGACAAGGCATGGTACAAAAGTCGCCTGAGGGAGGTGAGCAGCAGGGAAGCTAACGTAAACATAAAGCAGAGCGTTTTAGTTAAAAAAGTTAGTTTGAATACTCCCATAATGAGATAAGTTACCGGCAAGGGGTGAAATAACCCACGTGTACGTACATTCATTTTTGTTGAAAAGCTATACACGTAGACTCTATTGAACCTTTGTTTTCACTCAATTGCAATTGGTCAATTGCAATAAAAAATAAATTAAGACATGCAACATATTTAAATAGAAATGTATATGCAGTCTACATAGTGCCAGTGTTTTCATATGTGGCACTGGCAACACCGGAGAGCACAGTTGACTGGCCCCATTCACACCTGGGAAACTGAAGCAACGACCTCATTGCATCTTTGTAAGCACTGTGAGACTCCGCGCACTACTTTTTCTGTATACATCCTGTAGCTGTGCAGAAATCTCCAACTAATAAACATGTTCCTTTCATAAGGCAACTCATATTAAAAGTGCAAAGCAATGTAATTGACATGTGCACATATTTTACAACATTGTCAATAAACGTTATTTTTAAAATCATCATTATTACAAAGGCCAACATATATGTCATGAGAGGCAAATTGCACCACTGAAACAGGTAAAACGGCTACTATTAACTCCCCATAATAAGTTTTGATTCAATCATAATCATCCCAGTTACACCAACCTCATCACCAACTACAGCAGATCCGCTCTTAATAATTAAATCCTGCCTTTTCATTGTTTTGTTTTCCTTAGACGGGCCCAGTGATTGACATGCCAGTTCCTGCCAGCTACAATGACATCACGCAGGACCCCACTTTGAGAGATTTCATTGGCTGGGTGTGGTATGAGCGCGAGGTGGTGGTGCCTGCGCGCTGGATCACTGATGAAGGAACAAGAGTGGTTATCAGAGTGGGAAGTGCTCACTATTACTCAATAGTGGTGAGTATCACATGTAGCTTCCCTAAACCATTCCAGTTACACATAGAAAAATAAGTCATCTGCTGGAAAAAAATATTCTGTTGATCCATTTTCCATCTCTTGTGATAATGAGATCAGGCCGATTTGAATTATTTACCCTTTGCAGTGGGTGAACGGGGTGAAGGTGACAGAGCATAACGGCGGCCATCTTCCTTTTGAGGCTGAGGTAGGCAGTTTAATCCGCAAGGATCCAACCCAGCCATGCAGGATCACCATCGCCGTCAACAACACTCTGACTCTGGAGACTCTTCCTCCAGGAAGCATCCAGCACATCGACGACATCACCAAGTAACCTAAACACTTTTTATCTTTAAACAAAACCCTATACGACGCTTGCCTAAATTATTGTGTGAGCTAACATAACTGAAGAAAACTTATTTGCTCAGATTCATTTAAGCACTTTTTAATAATGGCAATTAATAAGTTTGCATCATTATTCTTAACTGATCCTTTAACTGCTTTCATCAATTACACAATAAGTGACACTTAATCTGCTTTTGTCCATGTTACAATGTCTAAAACTGTGATGAATTGTAAATAATTCCAGTGCTTTACGAATCTAGCTTTTTTTCTGGTTTTATGTCATATTGGGGCAAAATGTGTGTCAATTTGTATGTAGATAATGAGGTTAATGTATTTGATTACCGGTAATAGGTATCCGAAAGGCTTTTTTGTGCAAAACATCTACTTTGATTTCTTCAACTACGCTGGTATACATCGACCTGTATTGCTGTATACTACTCCTACGGCCTATGTGGATGACATCACTGTGGTGACGGACTTCTTGGATAACACTGGTAAATAATGCATGCACACTTTAAAGCAGTGGTTCTCAACTGGTCAGGCCTCAGGACCCACTTTTTACTTGGTCAATACATCGATCGCGACCCAACATTTTGAAGCACTCAAATCTATTCAACAAAAAATCGTGCTGTAACATATGCTTTTCACCATACAATATTAATTAAAGTGAAGTACAGTGCATATATCCCTTCACAGAACAAAAATATGCTTTTAAAAAAGGTTTATGAGATGATGGAATCAAAGCTGAACTGGATAAAAAGGCTCACATGCTGAAAACCCAACCCCAGCATAACATAAACTATGCATTCTGGTACACTCTGAGAAGAAAATAAATAAATCTATTACTACCCGACATATTAATAATATTTTATGCCATTGTTTGTTTTTCACTTAGTTCTGACAGCTTGCTGCTCCTCACAGAGAGAAAAGCAAAGAGGAGATAGTCTGTGTGAATTACTTTAAATTGTGGGTAAGGGTAGATAGCCCCCATTGTTCTGTGACCTGTCAATCATCAAACCAGGGGTCATATTTCATTATTTGTTCATTTGTATCTGAACTTGTACCCATGGATGTATAAAGAATAGTTCTACCACAAAGTTATTTTCCGTGGGGACTTCCGGCAACAATCTTGATTCTGATTGGCCAGAAGACTCGAAAAAAACATCAGCAAAGATGTTTTATTGAGAAGATGATCACTACGTGACTACTGGTCTCCGGTACTTCCAGTCCAACGCCTACTGCATGCACAGCGTTAGAAAATTGGGCCTTCAAAATAAAAGTTTTACTTTTTCCCCCCAAAAGAAAAAAAAAATAATTCTGTTTTTTTTCCAATTTTTTTTTCTTCACTCACACATCCGTGACCCACTTGAAACGGGTCCGCGACCCACCAGTTGAGAACCACTGGCCTAACATGTATATGTTAACAGGTAAGATAGCTGTTCACACTAACTATGTATATTTTCTACTTTTTGTAATGCTATGTTATTTCTATTTAAGATGTTTACATTTTCGATTGTTTAATTCTAGTCTTTTAACTGTCTAATGTACAATGCCTTGTCTTTTGCTGCTGCCGCGTTAACATTTCCCCAATTGGTATCAATAAAGTACTTCTTATTTTATCTTAATCCTTAAATATT